CCGTGGGCGGCAGTGGTCGCTGCACGGCGATTAGGACAGGCTGACCGGACAGAGGCGAGCCTGCCGAGGATGGGGCGGGAGTGAGGCTCGTCACCCGAGCCAGCCAACCCAGCCCCACCGGCAACAGGCAGACTGATGTCGGGAAACAGGACGGGGCCCTTTTCACCCGGTGGTGCCAGAGTCACTCGGGTATTTCATGGGGATGCTCGAGTCTAACGCTATGACCCCCGCCCTGCTGAGGTGTCTCACCACCTCTCCCCAGTAGAGAGGAGCCGCCCACCCAGGCCTGAAGGAGGCGCTGTGCTGGCCAAGGTCAATGCCTCCGGCTTTCGCTGCGTGGACAGCTCGGGGACAGAGCCAGGGCCACCATCAGCAGCGAGCCTCTGCTCTTTCTGCTTTGGGCGTCTGGCCTGGGCTCAGAGTGACGGGAAAGGCCCCAACCTGGGTGCGGGCGGGAGCATCACCAGCACAACCAGCAAATCCAATACATCAAAACGCACGTTCTGCCAGCCAGCCCGGAACCACAGTGGAATGACTCGGACACATTTCCACACTTCTTTTTTTTCGTTCCCCAGGGCACATATTTTTATCCTACATGGTGGCTTTGTAAGCACACTGAAAAATGCTCACTTACTTGTTACAGAGACATTTTTTGCTGCCAATCAATGTCTAGTTTGTCTAATTATGTTATTTCTTTTGAGGGGAATCTTTTCACATTTTTGAATGATGAAGCAGATAACTGACAAAATAGGTTAACTCTAAATTTTTCAGGTACCTGCACTAGAGTCACAGAAAAGAACGTTCACAGATCTTTCCCCAGTGCTACTAGCTTCTCAGAGCCTACGAAAGAACACTCGAGAAAGCACCTGCAGAAAGCACCAGGCATGAGGCAGGAAGGAACCAGGGCCTCCCCTCTGTCTTGGACGAGCCTGCTCACCTGCCTGACTCCCCCGCCACCTGCCCCTGCACATCTCACCTGGAGCGCTCTGGGCGAACCGTGCCTCCTGGATGACAGCGAGTTTGGGCTGGGCGGCACCTGGCTCGGGCTCCAGGGGGGCCGGCGAACCCTCCCTCGACAGGCTCTCGGGGGTCTGGGCGCCACTGGAGTGAGCAGACAGCACTCCAGCATGGTTGGGAGAGGCTGGAGCACTTCTGTGTTACCAAAAAGATGACAGCGGAGTTTTACAGTTAAAGCCCTCATAAAGCTGCCTCATTTAAAAAGTGCATTTTGCAAAAAGGGATGTCATCTGTCTTCTGCCAACCAACTACACATCTATAAGTCTGACTTTCTCTGTGAACACCTGATACCTGAGACAGACACTCAGTGAGACTGGCTGGACTATGACACAGCCACTGTGCCCAGGCTCTGCTGCTCCAGCTCCGCACAGGCTGTGCAGCCTTGGGCTGGACCGGCTGCCCTCCACCCAGCTCCCTCCCACAGTCAGGCAGCCGGGCCGGCAGTATGTGCGCCGGCTGGGGCTTAAAACTCATGTCAGAGTCATTTCATTTTTTGTTTGTTTAAAAACAGTATCTATTAATGAAGCTAAAAATATGTAATTTTTAAATCAGGCAATTAACATTGCATACACCAATCTTGACTTAAAGCAGCTAAGAGGTAGCTTTAAAGAGCTTTTCACATCCCAAGGAAAAGGCAAAAACACTGTCCATCAGCGTGGCACTGTTACATTGCCAACTCGTCATACTGACAATGTGCATTCAACAAAGCAACAGTTGTTACATGGGAATGGATTTAAGTAAAACTTTACATCAGAATTGTTTCAGACCACTAGAAACAAAAATACATGGGTAGCATCCAACAGTTTTTTCAAATCCCATCCCAACCTTTAATCAAAATGCATTTGGTGATTTCTTCATTTTCAAAAGGAAAATCTACCAATACATCAAAGGTAAACTCACTGAGCATTAAGTGGGGTCTGTGTGCTTGTCTTGTCCTTACCTAGACGAGAGAGGTCCCAGAGGGGTTCTAAAGCAGGGCACGCCCCTAGGCCGTCTTTTCCTAAAAGCCTGCTCTATTAATTTGCTTTCAGAGGCGGGGTCTATCCTCCAGAATGAGCCTTTGCCTGGTTCTTCCTGGGAACGTGGTACTTTGATGAAATAACGATTCAGAGAGAGATTGTGGCGAATTGAATTCTATGAAACATAAAAAAATACGTAGAATTCATATACTTCTTTGCTGAGAAATAAAAACGCACCCCAATTCTCGTGCCCTGCCAAGCCGCAGCTCTGCACTGGAAGGAGGCGGCCCTCCCTGAAGTGTGGGGGGCTACAGGCGGGACCGCGGCTGGGACCACTCAGCCCGGGGGCTTCTGCAGAGGAGAGGACACCAGGATGCCGGCAGGGTGACAGCGTGGCAGAGTGGGCACCTGAGTAGGGAGGGGAACTGGGGAATGGGGGGGGGCAGGGGCTATTCCAACAGGGGAAACATCAACTTCCACCTTTCTTCCAGGTAGGAAGACAACGACTATCACTGGTCACCTGATCTTTCCTGCTGACCTCTCCCTGTCTGGAGCCGAACAGAGCCAAGATCAGCCAAGATCAGCATTCCTTTAAGATACTTTTTGAAGCACAAAGTTAGCTTAGAGAATCTGTCATAGCCGTTAGAATGAATTAACCCAGCAGAAGGTATCTGGCAAACCAGCAGAGGAGAAGGATCAGCCAGAGTGAGAAGCACCACTGACACCCCTGCAGTGAAAGAACTCCCACGCGCTTTACTTCTCTGATCCTCAGAGTAACAGTGTGAGGCACAGAAAAGAAATCTCTCTCAATTCCTAAGTCCATTCTTCCACCACAGAAAGCTCTGATCTGAGCAGAGCTCCCAAATCCTGAGGCCTTGGAAATGTCAGGAAAAGCTGGATGAAAGCCATGCGTTCAGATCATTCTGTGCACTTACATTAATGTTCAAGTTTAAAAGTAATAAATGAAACTGTTAAAAGTTTCAACTCAAACTAAAATTTGGGGCTATCCAAAAGTCATTTCTAAATCCCTCGATTAACTTTCTGACAGAACTGCTAGCCATGACCTAAAATTCTGACTGGCCAGAGGTGGCTCAGAAATCAAAACACGCCAATACCACTATACAGCCAACCCAAGGGACTGCCCTCTGGACATCAGTCCCTCCACTGGCAGCACCTCCTCATGCTGGCTGGGCCGTGTCTGTGACTTGTGAGACTGTTTATAACGTGTCATACGAGAGTGGGGATATTTTAATAACCACAGATACTTGCTATAATGTTTTATCAGAGTTCAGCTGAAAACCAGCCAACAGCTCTCTACCCACTCCTCCAAAGAAGACTGGCTCCTACTGCTGCCCCATCAAGACAGAGAAGGCCATCCTCCTCCAGCCGCACTCAGACCTTCTGAGTGTGGAGCAGAAGGCGGATTCCAGGACCGCGGGCTGAGAAAAGCACGCCCAGACGAAGACACTGAAGGACACTCAGTGTGACAGGTGTGAAGCCGGCGCCCAGCAGGAAGGAGCTCAGGAGTGACTGCCAAGCCCCGGCGCTGGACGACCCAGACACCGGGCTGCGCTGACCGAGGCACAGTGGCCCCAGTGCGTGCCGTCAGGAGGAAGCGTGGAGGTGAGTGCTACTGCAGGGGATGGGGCGCCAGGATTTCTACCCTGCTCCATTACCCCTCACACCCCCAACAGGCTGTCCAGTAAGTTCGAAGATCAGGGAGCTGGAGCTTCTGTTCTGAAAGTGGGAGAGCACCCAGGCTGGGCCTTGACAAGAGAGACGACCTTCCTCTCCACCCTCACAGCCTCATAAATGGTCACCATGACCCTCCAGCCAGCATGACTCTAGAAAACAGGAGGACATAACAGGAGACAAGGAACAGAAACACAAAGTAACTGTGTTTCTAAGGTAATTGGAGGCCTTTGTAACTTGATCAAACCAAGCTACACGCATTAAAACCACACCGATGCAGATTCCAGCAATTCAGGAAGTATTAGGAGGTACTTAGAGAAGGTGGGTTATTATTTAAAACTAAAAGTGAAGAAAAAGACCCTTCCTGACCTGACTCACTCCCTGGGAGACTGAGGCGGGAAGAGGCTGCCCTGTAGCCCCCACTAGTCTTTAAGAAGAAACCTCATGAGGCACAGGCTCAGCCCCACACGGGTGTCAGGAAGCACAGGGCGCGTGACCGCAAGGGCAGTGCCAGGCTCTGCAGAAACACTCACCCCTCTTACAGCCCAGCCCACCGGCATTTCAAGTCATCAGAAGTCCTCACACAGTGAGCCGCCCCCCCAGCACCGAGCCCTCACCTGCCCGCACCCGGGGGCTATGTCCCACCTGCAGTCCCCAGACATGGACAGACGACCATCTGCTTCTTGTGTTACATTTTCTTCGAAGCACAAGTGCACTGTTACAGATTAAACACAGTGGGTCCCGCTAGGATGTACCGTACAATGCGTTAGGGACCTGCCAGGTAGCTGGGCACGGAAGTGCTCTCCAAATCCAGCATCTCTCTCCCGGCCAGCTAAGAACAAGAGGGCAGACGGGGAAGGCTGCATCTTGTACCTTCTACAACTAAAACCCTTACATGACTGCAGACTTTTACAAAGGAAATATTCAGGATCTGACTGGTGCACTATTTTTATTAGAACATAGTATATGTTCTGTCTCCCTTCGGTTAAACAGAAAACGGTTACCACCCCCCACCACTCACATCACCTGGTTATGCTTATGGGTCAACAGAAACACTTTTCAAAGGATCATTTACTCATTAAGCCTCAAAGGAATTCTGTAGCCATTCCAGGTTACTCAATGAGTTAAATCATGGATGTCTTTTTCCTTTCATTGCACTTTTACCGCTCCATGCGGCAAACAACCCTTCCCTGTGCTGACTTAGCAAGGCCCTACGAGCCATGCAGTAAGTGACCACACACAATGCGGACACACAGAACGGGGAGCACACACACAATGTAAGGGTGTAAACATTTAACCTAAACAATGGAACAAATGCACCAATTTCAAGGTGTCCTCTGAGGAGGCCACGGTTCACAGACACCCTAGGAACAGGCTGGAAGGACAGCTGGACGAGCAGGTCCCATTTAAGCGGGCAGTGCTGTGTCCATCTGTCTTAGATGCTGGCCAGCTGGAGACGATGTCTTTTGAAGAAAGGGTTCCTTGGTAAACCAGTTTGAAAACCATCCCTGTCCAAAATTCAAAAGGCTACAAGCGTCAGGTGTGGATGAGGAAGACAGGCGCATGCCAAGGGACAGGGTGCACTGGCTTTTCAGCCCTCCCTCACTCGAGACACACGGAACGAACTGCCCTGGTCAGAGAGAAGCCTCTCCGGCGACCGGAGCCTGCCCCGGCCGTGGGGACCGTGACAGGGAGAGACAGAGACTGGGGTTTCTCCAGAGCCGCGCCTGCTCCCACCCTGCACAAGAGGCCTGCAGCCTGCCCTCTGCACAGCAGCTCAGTCCCCTCGGCCGCCAACCGCACCTGCGAGACCCGCAGCAGCGGCCTCAGCAGCGAACTGAAACCGACCCACCTGCCAGCCCTTGTCCGCCGTCCGGTAGTAGGGGTAGTTTTTAGTGATGTGCGTGTAAATCCCATTCAGGGTGAGCTGTCTGTCAGGCGCCATCGTGATTGCTTGTACGATTAATTGTGCATAGGAGTAAGGTGGCTTTGAGTCATCCTGCATTTAAGTCAAAAGAAGTAAAGAAGTTATCAAAATTTTTACTAAACTTGCCGAAATTCAGGAGTCTCGATGTTTTTAAGCATTCCTGTGATAATGCTAAGTTTTCCTTCCTACAAAAGTAATATAATTTAATGGGAAAGCATTTGGAAAATTTGGAAGAAGCAAAAGAAGGTGTGCACACAGCATAAAAAAAGAACAGTAAAATCACTTCAGGAGAAAGTCAAAATGGCAAAAACGAAAAGAACAAGAAAACGAGGAAAGCTGCCTGACCTCAGGAGAGTCTAGATCAACACCCCCACACCACATGGGTCCAGCGGTCACCTGGAGGGCTGGCACGGCTCCGGGGCCTCAGAGGGCCTCGCATGCAAGGATGATGAGCACCACAGCACCAGAGGGACACGCTTAGAACCACTGAGCTCTCCTCCTGTGAGAAAGCCCTGCGCCCAGGTGAGCCCCAGGAGCCAGACTCAGGTTGCCACCCCAGGGGCCGAGGCACCTGGGCAGATTGTTCAGGTGTGCGGGGGTGGGGGTTGCGCACATCCCTGGTCCCCGCGTGCTCAGAGCCGCCAGTGGCTCCTTGCCACTGTGACGAGTCAGACCCCATATGCTCTGCACGGACAGGAACCACCCACAATCCCACACCCACTAGTAAACAGCCAGGGCCTGCCCCCCTGGTCTCCCTGAGCGCGTGCATGCTGGGCTCCTGGACGCGGGGCACAGGGAAGGGAGGGTGGAGCTGAAGCCCCCGCAGGCCAGAGCAAAGCCCTCCTCACTGTGCTTACGCTGTTTGGGGGGATTTCCTTGTTATCTTTTTCCCATACATTTCAATTTTTTTAAGCTTTTTTTTTTTAATGAAAAATGTAACACAGAACAGCCCATAACACATCCATATCAGCTGAAAACAAACTTCTATAAAGTGAACAGAAGTACAGCCAACAGTGGGCTGAGAGAGAACACAGCCCACATCCCAGGAGCTTCCCTCGGCCCCTCGGCCCCTCCCTCCGAGAGGCCACCTCTGTTCCTGACCTTTCATACTGATCACGGTCGTGCTGACTGACCTTTTACCATCTAAGAAACATCTGAAACAATTCCACTTAGTTCTGCCTAGTGGACAGAGGTGAAATCCCACCGAGGGCGCCCTCCGTGTCTGCCCCTGCCTGGCACCCCGTGCCGAGGCTCCTGGCAGGGGCGGCTCATCCCCACGACTGTGCTGTGTCCTCGCAGGTGAACCCAGCACGTTTTATAAATGTGTCCTCAGAGGAACACTTCTCAGCACTGCATCCAGGGTGCTTCCAATGAGCAACATGGTGCATGACACCCCAGCTCAATCACTCTTTCCTCACAGGGCACTTAGACTGCTCTCAGTTTTCCGTGACCTTCTGTTGGAGATGTGCGTCCACTTCCCCCAGATGAAGTCCTAGCAGGGACACGACTGGGTCAAAGGGTGGAAGCAGGCAGGTCCCCTGTGGGCATCTACAGTGACCGTCAAGAAGGGGACTCGTGAGCGTCTGCACGCAGACGAGCGTAAGAGGGCCTTCAGACGCGGGTGTGTGCAGCCTTCAGCACTTGGGGGGGGGCAGGACTGAGCCCAGGGACGTCCTCGGACACCCCAGTGAGGATGAAGGGTTCAGGACCTGGGCCCCAGTGGCTGCTGGGGAGAATCCAGTTCTGAGCGACTGCAGGAAAGCACCTGCGAGACTGCGTCCATGCAGATGTCAAGTGAGGACAGATGGCAACCCGGTGGCCCAGGGGGTCTGTTCTGCGGTTGTAAAACATTTACCTTTGGGCTGTCTCCACCTGAAGCTTCCTTCTCGTTTTCTGGCTGTGAGCTGTCGGCCATTAAGTTGAGGTCAGATGGTATCACACGGCCCATTTTGTATCCCGAAGACCCTGCTCCCCGGGGGCTGGATGGGCAGGAGTTTGCAGCACTGTGGGAAGAAAGGTTGTTCCCGTCAGTCTATGACAGAGCACACATCACACCGTGTTTCAGTAACTGGCTCTTATTTCAAGGAAAACAAACTCAAAAAGTAAGCATTTCCCGTGGAAAAATGGACTCCCTTTTTCTCTGTGAAATTTAATATCACCCCAAGAAATCAGGTATTTGCTGCCCCTAGTGTCATCTTAGGAACTTACAGGACATAGAGTGGAATGTGAGGCCAGGGTTCAAGCTGGCAGAGGGGCTGAGCGCTGCCCCCCGCCCCGTCCTCCAAGAGCTGAGGACAGGCTGGGACGAAGGACACAGCATCCAGCAGCACCAGAAAGGCCAGGGAGAGCCTTGGGGGGCGGGGGGACAGGATGCACAGAAGGGGGTGAGGGGACGAGGCCGGGGACACACACACACGGGCAGGCGCAAGAGGGGCCACAAAACACCAGCAATCAGACACTGGAGCCCGTCCTTAAACGTGCACTTTCTCCCACAAGACAGGGCTGGGCTGTGACGCTGAGAATGTGAGGGTTCTCATCTCTGCTGCCGAAGGCCACGTTCATTTGTAATGATTCACCAAGTCACACATTCACCCTATGCGCCCCTTTCTGTACAGTGTTACACTTTAAAAAAGAGAACAAGCCACTGAAATGGAAGGAAACCAAGGTAAGACTGTGCAGAAATCCAGTAAATATACGACAGTGTGTATGGTTCCCCTCACTTGTGCTTTGGGTAAAAAAAAAAGACAAGTGTTGCAAATGTATAGATATTTTCTGGGAAAAATTCCTAAGAACAACTCAACATCAGAAAACCAAACAACCCGATTTAAAAAGTGGGCAGAAGAATTGAACAGAAATTTCCCACAGAGGAAATGCAGATGGCCGCCGGGCACATGAAAGGCGCTCTACACCACTAGTCATCAGGGACACACAAATCAAAACCACAATAAAGTATCACTTCGCATCTGTCAGAATGGCTGTCACCAGAAAGAACACAAATAACAAATGCTGGCGAGGACGCGGAGAAAAGGGAGCCCTCATGCACTGCTGGCGGGAACGTAAATTGGTGCAGCCACAGTGGAGAACAGTGTGGAGGTTTCTCAAAAAGCAGAAGCAGAACTACCATATGAGCTTCCAGTTGTGGGGGTACACACACACACACACACACACACACACACACACACACACACATACCGCCACCAAAACCCCCCACTATTTCTAAAAGATGTATGCACCCCAGTGTAAACAGCAGCAATATTTACAACAGCCAAGACATGGAAGCAGCCTAAGTGTCCATCCACAGACGATGGGATAAAGAGGATGTGATGTATACATACAATGGAATACTACTCAGCCAGAAAAACTGACAACAGAACGCCATTTACAGCAACATGGATGGACTTGGAGGCATTATGCTAAGTGAAGTAAGTCAGACAAAAACACATACTGTACGATATCACTTACATGTAGAATCTAACAAATACAACAAACTAACGAATATAACAAAAAAGGAGCAGACTTGCAGACACAGAGAACAAACCAGTGGTTACCAGTGGGGGAGGTGGAAAGGGGGAGGAGGGAGGGGAGGCACAAACTACTGGGTGAGGCAGGCTCGGATGTGCTGCACAACACGGGGAATCCAGACAGTATTCTGTAATAATGGTGAATAGAAAGTAATTTTTATAAGTATGCATATATATACCCACACACATACATATATACTTTTAAAAACACCTAAGAAACTGTGGTCTTCTCCAAAAACCTGATCTGGAAAGGAGGGTCCGGCAGGTGGAGCGACATACTGCACCCGGCACTCTGCAGCCCCGCTAGCCCCTCCACGAGTGCGTGTCAGCAGCATCCACACTTGAGCGCCCACTGCGGGCCAGGAACGCCTCTTAAAGCAGCGGAGAGAAGGGAACAAGACAGCAAGACCGCTCAGAGCTCAGCTCCATGACCTGAAACCCAGCTGACACGGGCGGAATGTGGACGTGTGGCAGGAAGGTGACCCCACTGGCCGGACAGTGGGTTTGAGAAGGCAGGTGGGCGCCACGCCCCAGGCTGTTGGAAGCTGGGGCCACACTCGGGCTCTCCCTCTGCTGAGGGGCAAGCAAGGACAAGAGGGAGACGAAGCTAGGTGAGGAGAGGCGGGGTCAGGAACTGACCAAAATCCTAAGAGTTCCAACCACCCCTGCTTCCCTGAGCGCCCAGGGACCGTCTCCACGTGGCTGTGCAGGGTCTCGGTGGCCTGATTCCAAGGCTGCTGCTTCCACCGTGGGCCGCCGTTCCACTTGGGTAAACACTGGCTTGTGCCCCTTCCTGGGTGAACTCCACACTGCTCACACAATGCCGACTACAAGTCTGGCCACAGGGCTGCTGGCTTTTGCCCGCCCACTGACGCACTTACTGCTTGGTCCACCTGGTCCCACGTGAACAAATTCGACTAAGTGGGAGAGGCAGAGGCAGCATCCTTGGCAGAGCAGCTGCGGCCGGAGTGGAGAAGGGGCCCGACCATGGACTCGACTCGGGGCCAAGCAGGGCCAGCAGCCAGAACCGTCCTGACACTCTCTGCAGAGTCCCTTCCAGAAGGCCTACCGTTGACACTGGTTTTTAAGAGGATAAACAGAAGTGTCAATTGAAAGCTACAACCCAGAGCTGCTGGCACTCCCTCCGTGCCCTCTTTGCTCTGATGCACACAAGGTCAGCCTGAGTGGAAGAGGCGAGGCCTTCCCACCTCGCAGCCATGTCCTGTGGACACACCGGACAGCAGGAGCTCGGCCCCTGAGAAAAGTAAATGTGTTCGTCTCACACCTAAGTCTAACATCACTCACACTGAAGAAGATGCCCTAATACGTACTCTGTGCTTCTAAGACCAATGGAACAGAAGAGGACTGACTGGCCCGAGCCCACCCCACGGTCACAGCGGACCCAGGGGGACAGCGGAGCCCTGCCTCAAGCACAGTCCAGCTGGCTCCAGGCGCGTGTCCATGGGTCCCGGGGCGGCCCTTGACTCGACTCTCAGCTGCCGTGCCCTTAAGCCTGGCACAACAGAACCACCTCACGCTGGGTTCCGTGCTGGAGAGTTTGCCTGGAAGCCACCATCCTCCACTTCCTGAGGCTCCCAGTCTCTTTTAGGACCTCAGGACAAACACAAGTTTGTCACTTCACTGTTGTCAGACTCAGTAATCCAAAGTGTAAGTCATCAGGATTTACACGAAACTGCAGCAAACCAAGATGCAACTGAAAACCCCTCTCAAACTTTAGACCAATATGACAAATCTTCTACCCCTTCAACTTATATTTAAATAAAAAGAACCCAAAAGCAAAAATCCAGGAACATTTGGGAGCTGTGCTTCATACACAGGGGACTGAGAAACCAAACAATATTCTAAGTGCCCTCAGCACCCGCACTCCACGCAGATCAGCATCAGGAAGGAGAGAGGGCCGGCCACGCACTGCTGCCTTCACTGTGACTGACGGCTTCTCAAAGCCCCAAGGCAAGAGGCAGGGAGGAAACCTGGACCGGGTGCACCCACAGTGACTTCTGTCCGCCCCAGAAGCAGCTGTACCTGATGGTTCCCGTGGGGGAGGGGAGGGGGCTGATGAGGTGGGCCATGGTGTCTGGAATGTTGATGGTCAGGGGCGAGATGTGAGCCTGCACCGGCTTCACCGGCGACTCGGGCGCCTCCTGCTTCTCCCTCTTCTCGCTGGACAGAGCGG